ATCTTGAGTCTTGATCTTGATTTTGAAGCTAGAGTTTGTTTAGGACTATATATGTATTCCAATCTCAAAAATGGTTTTCCTATATCTACCTATATTGTACTTAACACGTAGGAGTGGGTTACCAGCATTATTCGCCGACGGTTGCTATACCATATATTTTTCAGGCGCTGACTTGTAGCTTCGGAGCGCGTTAGATGGATTTGTGGATTTAGCTTAGTATTAGTTAGATGGCCTGTGAGCCTTGAATTGTATTGTGGATATTAACTATAGTTTTTGCCTTGTTTAGTTAGTCTAGCCTGTGCATCTAGGTTCTCAAACCTAGATGTGACATAACACTCCGATACTTATGTTGTTAGTTCCACTTTGTTTGGATGATTAATGATAGATTTGCCTTTATTTCATAAGCTTTAAATGTTTTAAAAATTAAGGGTATTACAATAGTGACGCTTCCACTAGTACAAAAAGCCACATTAGCTACACCTCTAAAAGTGTTTCCGCTACACCGGTACAGGTGTAGCAAAATCCAGTGTCAATGAAAGTGCTTAGCTTTCCGCTACACCCGCTACGGGTGTAGCGGAAAGCCAAAGATATTAATTTTTTTTTTTAAAATATTGACTTTCCGCTACACCCTCCCCGCGAAAAGTCAAAAAAGAAAAATTCAAGCGCCTTTCCGCTACACCCTCTCCGTTGAGGGTGTAGCGGAAAGTTTTGTTTAAAAAAAAAAAAAAACAAAAACAAAAACAAAATTCTGCAAAATCCTCAGTGACGGTCACTGAATTTTTTTTTTAAATAAATATGTTCTGCAAAAGTTTGTGTGTTTTTTTTATTATTCTATTTAATTTTTTAAAACCAACAATTAATATCCTGTACAGAAATTTCTAAAAACTAACAAACCAACACAACAATTTACAAACTAATACAACAATTAGCAATCAACAAAATATACTTATAACTATCAACAAAATATACTCATAACAATCAAACACAATAAGCTATTCCCGGTACACTTTTTGCTAATTTACAAAAAAAGAGAGATTAGAAGAGTAATAAAACAAAGTAAATGAAGTGGATGTCTCAAAGGAACTAAAGAGGGGAAGAGGGGATGGTAACATAATGCCAGCTTAAGTTAATAATCTCCTCTAACCCAAAAAGGGTAAACATGAAGCAGTTGATGTTAGGGGTGTGCATCGGACGGTTCGGTTCGGGGTGGGGTTTGACTAAACCGCTCGGGTTTCAGTTTGGTAATTGTAAAATCGGTCCTAACATTTTATGTATTAAATCTTTCGGGTTCTTTAATTTTCGGTTTCAGTCAGGTTGGTCGGATATCCAACTTGTGTTAGGGTGAAGCAAAATTGATATAAGAATAATAAAACTATAAAAGTAAATCAAGTAAATTCAAGACAAAATGCCTTAATGCCTTAATGCCATACAAAAACCTTAAAACCCCAAAACTGAATGATTTACAGTTTACACTTTATAGTTTAGCAGATTACACTTCACAAAAAACCAGAATTACAGATTTACAAATTCATAAAAAGCCATGTTGAATTGTTGATTCCTGATCATAAAAAGCCATGTTGATTCCTGATCACAAAAAGCCATCCTGATTCCTGAATCTTGATCCAACTCTAAATCTGTAAATCTGTAATAATCCTAGTGTAGTAGTGTTCTAGACTGCTATTCTTCTTCCTGTTAAAATTTAGTGCAATTTAGTAAAGGAAACAAACAAGTGAAACAACTAAACAAGTAAAAAAACAATAAGTCAATAATAATTATATATTACTTAGCAAATGAGAAAATGAGATTATAATATTGGCTCAGTAAGCATATTTGTCCATATCAATGTATGGATTAAGGGCAAATTGCTTCAAATCTTCAACAATTGAACATTGAGCAACATACCAGCTTAATCCTTATTTCAGATCATTGGTGGAAGCTTTCACCATTGCCAATTTGCCATAATATATCAAAAACTCAAAAGATAACATTACCAGAATTACAGATTTACAGTAATGCAAAACTGCAAAAGGCAGCAACTTTACTTACTCTTACAAGTTAGTAAGCTACCAAGCCTTTAGAGGATTTAAGAGCAGTAGTTAGAGGCCAAAAACTCATCAAGGGAAGCAACTTAAAGTCACCAAGTTTCATTGCCTTAACATCAGAATATAAAGTCAGTTGAATAGTTGAATACAAGATTAAGATATTAATATATCATATAAAGTATAGAGATTGGAGAAGACCATTACAGAAATACTTGGAAGTGTAGTTCCACAAGTCCTCCCACCAGATGCACTTCCACCATCAACACTAAATTCTGCAATTAAATCAAATAAGAAGAAACTTGTTAAAATTCAATTGAATGAAAAAAAAAAAAAAAAAACTTAAATTGAATGATTGAAATAATACATTATTTTACCTTTCTCAAATCTTTCTAATTCTTCTAGATTTTCTTCAATTGAAATGGGAGTATTTGGCCGCCTAAGCCAATCCTGGGTACATACCAAGGCTTCCACAATTTTAGGAGTTAAAGAACTCCTAAAATGATCTAAAACCCTCCCAGATATACTAAAGGCAGATTCTGAGGCAACAGTTGAGATAGGAATAGCTAAGATATCCCTAGCAATCTTAGAAAGGATAGGAAACCTTGCAGAATTGACCTTCCACCATCTCAGTATATCAAATGAACCTTCATCTTCAGTTATTGCCTCACTCAAATAATATTCCAACTCAATTTTTTTCCTCCCAACAGTTCCATTCTTTGTTTCTTAATTTGGGCCTTCAATAGATGTTGTGGCCTCCCAACAGGGGTAAAAACAAACTCAACAACAAGATTAACAGATGCTACAGAACCAGAACCAGTAGCTGGGACAACAGATGGGCTATAACTCACAGCATAATCATCATACAATTCATTCAAAGCAGCCAACAATTTCTCAAGGTAATCTTTTCCTTTTTTGTCACCATACATATGAACTAATTGAGTTGGCATATATTCTAACTTGTCCCTGGGGTCTAAAATGTTTGCAAAGAAAATCATATAATTCATTTTGTCAATATCACCTCAATATTTTTCAAATTTTGCTTTCATGTTAGCCCCCATTAGTTTCACAGCCCCATCAGCTTCCACCATTTCATTCAAGATACAATACAGATCAGATATTTCAGAGAAAAATGTGTTAGCTGTCACATATAGGGACCCTGAAATTCTGATAGTCATCTCATAGAAACATTTCAACAGCTTAACCAAGTTGTTCACAGACTCCCAATCCAGAGAAGTAGGAATAGAATCACCCAGATCAGATTTGAAAGAGTTATCACTGTATTCATAGTCATCAAATACTTTCTGGTAGATCAAAGCAGACTGTAACATCAAATATGTGGAATTCCACCTTGTTGGCACATCAAGACACAAGGATGTTTTTTGCTCAATTCCATACTATACTCTGCCAAATCCCTAAATTTCTTCAACTTTGAAGGAGAACTTCTGACATATCTAACAACCTCCCTAACCCTCTTAACAGTAATATCACATTGTTTTAGACTATCTTGTACCACCAAGTTCAGAATATGAGCAATGCATCTCATGTGAAGATACTTACTCTTCACACTAGATGATCCCCAAGACAACACTTTCCTTTTTAAAAAACCAAGTGCAACATCATTTGATGAAGCATTATCTACTGTCACAGTAAACACATTCCTAAGCCCCCACTCTATCAAACAACTTTCAAGTGCGTTTGCAATATACTCACCCTTATGTGATTTAACAGGGACAAAAGATTTTTTTTATGTAGCTTCCACTCCTCATCTATAAAATGTGCAGTTACAACCATGTAGTTTATCCTCTGAATAGATGTCCAAGAGTCAGTTGTAATACTGACTCTTTGAGTGTTTCCCCTAAACAAGCACTTTAAGTTCAAATTTTCTTCTTCATAAATGACATTGATATCTCTACTGATTGTCCACCTAGATGAATTTTTAAACCTAGGACAAGCCACTGCAATGAACCTCCTAAACCCTTTCCCCTCAACAAATATAAAGGGAAGTTCATCTATGATAATCATTTCTACCAAGGCTCTCCTCCTAATGGTTTCCTGATTAAATACCCAAGCCCCCAACTCTCCCACAGTTGGTTCAGATGCATCACTAGTAGCAACAGCTTGAAATGTCAGAAGGGACTGCCTAGTATCTTCAGAGTGAGGGTTTTTCATACAGCTAACCATGTGGTTCCTTAAAGATGTAGTACCATGTTTTTTTGATTGACATTGATACAACTTTGCACAGTAGATACACTTTGATTCTATAGTAACATTATTACTATTAGTAATCTTTTGAAAATGATCCCAAACTCTTGATCTGGATTCAACCACTTTCCTTTTCTTTGCAGGAACTGCAGCAATAAGAAGCACAGTCTGTTGAGTAATTGTGTCAACAGTTTGGACTTCCACTGCTGTTGCTCCTTGAACAGAAGAATTGGGAGGTTCACAACCAGAACTAGGTATACTGATATTGTCCATCTATAAAGTGTGGAACATAATCAGTAGACATAGTAGGAGATTGGAAATCATAATACACATAACATATTAACATTTAACACTTAACTGTTCCATATTTCCAACTCAATATTTCCATCAGGCATTCATCAAACATTCAAACTATCAAAAAGACAACAAAAGGACTCTCATCTCTGAATGCTCATCATATGGAGTATGGACAACAGTCACAACACGACACTATATATAGCTTCCACATTTCATCAAACATTCAAACTATCAAAGACAACAAAAGGACTCTCATCTCTGAATGCTCATCATATGGACTATGGAGTATGGACAACAGTCACAACACATAGGCAGTTAGGCACTATATATAGCTTCCACATTTCAGAGGCAATATATATCATAATATTTAAGGGTCCTCAATCCATAAACAAGAAAGACAACAGAGAATCAGAGATGATATTTTAATTTTTCAGAGATGATATTTTTAATGCTTCCACTCACAAAGTCAAAAATCATAACAGTTTCAAATATTCATAATATATCACATTATCACAACTCACAAGTTCACAAGAATCACAAATCATAAATAGGGTTGGAGATTTACTTCTTTTCTCACACAAATTACCCGGAGAACAAGGGCCTTCAAGCAACGTCCAGGCGTCCAGCGGTCCAGCTGTCCACAAGTGAGTCAGTCAACAACTGAACAAAGCCTCCGCCACAAAGCTTCCACCACAGACTCACAAAGAGTCAAAGAGAACACCAGAACAGCTGAGAGCCTGAGACGGTGAGACCCCAGAGAATATCGAAGACAGAATCAGAGAAAGGACTTCCACCGGACTATCAGAATCTCAGAGATTGAGACTTGAGAGAACTCAGAGAAAAAGCTTCCACCGGAGAATCGGAGATTCTCAGTCTCAACTCTCAAAGATTGAGACTTGAGAGTTGAGAGAACGGGAGAACTGAGAAACCCAAGGTTGAAAGTTGAGAGTCGAGAGAGAAATCAGAGAATGAGATTAGGTCTATGAGAGAGTGAAGGCTGCGCAGCGTACAAAGGATCATATATATAAACTAGGGACACGACGCCGTTTAATATACATCCATTCTAACCCTAGGCTTCATCGGGTTGTCGGACGGGTCGGGTGGGCAAACACGAGACCCAAACTGACTTCATTTAACCGTTCAAATGGCTAGGCTGGTTCGGTTTTAAGAAGTCGGGTGCCGGTTCGGTTCGAAATGGTTAATTTACCCGAATGGGTCAGGTTGACCCGACGGTTTATTCGGGTTTGCACACCCCTAGTTGATGTAAATCAGGTGTTGGCATAGAATACTTAATACTATGAAACCCCAAATTAAAGTATCATGAATAGCACCCTTATTCATACCATTTGAAGCACGTGCATTCCAGCCTCCTTCGAACTACTTAGTTGGACCATGATAGAAATGTCTTCGAGGGAAATGGTGAGGTATGTTTGAGTCAATCTCTTAATATTGTGTTTATACATGGATGACACAACTTGCTGGACAATTCCAAGGTTATTGTCCTGAAAAAGGAAGAGTAAATGAATTTACACTTTTATAAGAAAAAATGATCAGGGGAAAAATATTTAATTAATGGGTGCTTCAATTAAATATTTAATTACTTGAAGATCAAAATAGGACAAAAGACAATGTTTGAAATTCAACGAGTTACAAATTCCACTTGGCTAGACTCCAAGGAATCCTGCTGGTAGAATTCTAGAATCCTTGCTACACGACCAATATACCTTAAGAAAACAAAAGCTCCCTGCAACTTTGATCTGTACATTACAATTAGTTAGCATTGGGATGAGACAAACAAAAGTTCATGGAAATTATAGGACTTGTGCCATTTATTTATCATTTGATGGACTATTAAGCTCATCTTACACAAAAACTATCATAACCAAGTCATGATGTGACACCTAATATATGCTTTTTATAGGTAACTGAAAACTATAATATGCATGATGTAATGTGAGTGTGTGTGTGAGTATTTTCAAATATATTACATTCACAGCTCAGTTTTTTAAAATACACATATCTTGATCACAAGGATGCAAGTACACACTTAATATTAGCTTCCTATAAAAAATGTCAACAAGTACATTGTGCAAACTTTTGCTTAAGAAAAACAAAAAGAAGCTAGTTACTTCATCATTATAAAGCTCACACTAGACAATTAGAAATTGAATTACAAGCAAATGAAATAGAAAGCATGACCATACAAGTATGCAGAAAGATTAGTACTTTTAGAATTCAAAGTCATAGGCACAATGCACAGTAAACACTTCCCTTTCATTGTAATATATTTTTTATCAACTCTAGTTTAAAAGTTTAAAGAAATTATACAGAATGTGCATGCAAAATTGCTCCAAGTAATATGGCATTTTATTGTCAATTTTTAAATGAATGGAAGCTAACTAACCCATTAGGTAAACAATTTGTATTGTATAACACAGAATCATTACAAATTGTGAATTATTCCATAAATATTTTAGAGCAAAACCACAACAAAGCAACAAGCAATGCAGCAATAACAGTTTTTAACAACTTGAGTATGTATATTCACAATGATATGTAAAAGGTATGATAATGCAAATACTTTGATTATGCATGCTATTTCATAAATTCATGTCCATAGAACCAACAATAAGCAAATAAAATTTTCAACGAGTTTAAGCATAGAACTAAAATGAAAACAAAAAATCGAGCCCAACAAATCCGGAATTCAAAACAAATGCACACCTTCTTTTTTCCAGCTTCCAAATTCTCTTGCTTCCATTGAACCTGAGCAGACGCCATTGGAACAATCGAAATATATGTTTTATCTCCAAACGCCTTTTTAAATCCTCACAAACAAACAAACAAAAACAAAAAAATACAAAACCCTAAAATCAAACCCCAAATTCTACCATTCGACACAGATCATTATATATACATTCAAGAGAGCGAATCCGTCCAGATCTGAGCCATCCAGTTTGATTTTAGAGATTAGGAGAAGAAATAAATAAAAAAAAAATCGAAGGGAGACTTACCAGCGGTGGTGGAGGCTAGCAGTGGCGGTGGCGTCTACTGCAGGTCGTAGTAGTTCGCGACATTGGCGTCGGAGAGAGGGCAGCGTCCGCGGAGGAGGCAGCGGCAGCTGAGAGATGGAGGAAATGGTCTGATGGCTGAGAGAACTGAAGGCGTCGTTGTGCGAAAAGGGTGCTTTCTCGGATGGTGACTAAACTTTGAAATGGATTCCAAATAGTACCATTTTTTGAAAAGTGGCAAAAGAAGGAATACCCGTAAAAAGGATTTCCGTTTGCCTTGTTATGTCATAATATAAAAAGGATTTAGATTTGCCTTGTTATCCTTCTAATAGTATAAAAAGGATTTATATTTGCCTTGTTATTATTTAAAAAATCCGCTTTGTGATGATAAGAAAATGATTAGTTCATGAGTGATATAATATGATAAGAAAATGATTAGTTAATGAATTATATTATTGTGTAATTATATTGATTGATTAGTAATGATATATTTATTATAATATTATAATTATTTAATAATGATGATGTACTATTTTGAAAAAATTACATATGTATAAATAATTGATGGTATTGTATACTTCAAATTGATCTCAATAACTCAGTCATTAATACATGGTTGAATTATGAATTATTCATCCATGATATTTAATGGTGCCTGCAAGTGAAAGAATTTATGTTAAAAGTCAAAAATTTACTACAGAGAACAACAGGCGAACAATGCAACCGTTCAAACATTTAATGACACCATTGGTTTGTACGCCGTTGCTCTCGCCACAGGAAACGTCTCCCAAGGTTCAGCACCATTGTTAAATCAATACACAATAATTATTCATTAATCATTATTAAATCAATACACAATAATTATTAATCACAAATATTAATCACGGAAAGAGGCGTACTGAAATAACAATAACAAGGCCTATTGAAATCCTTTTTATGGTTAACAATAAAAAGGCATACTGAAATCCTTTTTATGGTTAACAATAAAAAGACATTCAAAAAGCCTTGTTATGCTTTATTCCCTCTTTTGCCTAAATTCAAAATCCTTCCCTATTTGGAATCCAAACTGAAATCTGTTCCTCCTCGGGGTAATGACTCCGAAAATAGAGACGAATGGAAGAGAAATGGTCTCAGCAGAGCAATGTGTAATAAAATAATAATAAAATTTCCGTGCCGCGCGGGAAGTTTATTAAATATTTTATTATCATATTTTTAGAGGCACCTTCTGGGAGTGGTTGCCGCAAAAAGTTAAATAATATTTTATTATATAATTTTCTACGACATCTGCTTCTAGGGGTGTCGCGGAAAGCTTTTTTTTTCTCTTTTTTTTTTAAACAGAAATTACTTTTCACTACACCTTTAAACTAAAGGTGTAGTGTATTTTTATTTGTTTCAACTATTCACTACACCTTTATTAAGAGGTGTAGTGTAAAGCTATAATTATATGCTCTCAGTAGTGTTCACAGGCTTATAAATTATACAATCCTGAAACTAAAAAGGTTGTGATAAGCCGTGATGTCACTTTTGATGAATATGGTGCCTGAGATTGGTCAGCTAAAGATGAAAGGTCATTTGTTATTGTTAAAGAGCAACCGATTCCTGTAAAGGGTTACAAGCGGAAACCAGGTATTGATTATTTTGAGGTTTTTGCTCCTGTAAGTAGACTTGATACATTTTGAATAGTTATTTCTCTTGCTGCTCAAAATGATTAGAAATTACATCAAATGGATGTCAAGTCTACTTTTTTGAATGGTTTTCTTGAAGAAGAAATATATGTTGAGCAACCTGCATGATTTCTGAAGAAAGTGGAGGAAAATAAAGTGTACAAGTTGAGAAAAGCCTTATATGGCTTAAATCAAGTGCCTAGGGCATGGTATGGTTGCTTTGACTGACAGTAGTTTTATGAGATGTCCTCGTGAACATACTTTGTATGTCAAATGCATTGATTCTGGTGATATTGTTATAATATGTCTATATGTTGATGATCTAGTTTTTATTGGAAACAATTTGAAGCTAATCTCAGAATCCATGGAGGCACTCATTAAGAGGTTTGAAATGACTGATATGGACCTTATGTCTTACTTTCTTGGCCTTGAGGTTGTTCAGATGGATGGTGGAATCTTTATTTCACAAAAGAAGTATGCTGCTGATATTTTGAAAAACTTCAAAATGGAAAAGTCCAAACCAGTTTCAACTCCGTTAGCTGAAAAGTTAAAGGTGTCCAAAGATGAGTGTGGTAAGAATGTGAATGTTACAACTTATAAAAGCTTAATTGGGAGTTTGAGGTATCTGGTGGCAACAAGACCGGATATTCTTTTGGAGTTGGAATACTTAGCAGATTCATGGAAGAACCAAAATAATCACATTGGGTGCAGCAAAGCGAATTCTGATATATGTCAAAGGTACAAGTAATGATGAAATTTTTTACTCTACTAATGAAGCTGTGAAACTTGTTGGGTACACATACAGTGATTGGGCTGGAGATGTTGAGACCAGAAAAAACACATCAAGATATGTGTTCTATCTTGGTTCAGTCATATTTTCTTGGTCATCAAAGAAGCAGCAAATTGTAGCACTTTCAACCGCAGAAGCAGAATATATTGCAGCAGCAAACTGTGCTACTCAAGCAGTTTGGCTGAGGAGAATTTTGGAGTTCTTACAACACGAGTAGGAAGCACCTACAACTATTTTTTGTGACAACAAGTCAGCAATTTCGTTATCCAAAAATCCAGTCTTTTATGGTCGCAGCAACACATATTGATATCAAGCATCACAAAATCAGAGAGTTGGTTGCTGAAAAACAAATCAACATTGAGTATTGTTCAAGCGAATGTCAAGTTGCAGATATCTTTACGAAGCCGTTGAAGACAGCGACATTTCTCAAATTGAAGAAGGAAATTGGGATGACAAATATATCCAACTTGGTTTAAAGGATGCAATGTTATAATAATATTATTATTATAATTAATTAAACCAAGTCAACTAATGCAGTAAATAAACATGGGTGTGGTGTGTCATGTATGATCATGAATGTTAATTAAAGTGAAAAGTGGCCTAGATTATAACAGTACATGGAGCATTAGTTTCCTAATTACTAGCTTTCCATTATTAACTTTCTTTAGTATAAATAGTTTGTGTTATCAAGCATTTCAATCATCAAGTGCAATAAACATTGTTTTCCTATTCCCTCTCTCTCTCTCTCTCTCTCTCTCTCTCTCTCTCTCTCTCTCTATTATATATATATATATATATATATATATATATATATATATATATATATATGGGTGATCACATGTGGTCATGTTGTTAGGTGTGGTCATATGGTTAATTATAGGCCATTAGATTAGATAGATCCAATGAATCATATTAATTAAGATTTTTCCAGTATTTTCGCGCACATTCTCCTACCCAGCGAACTGCATGGCTAAACTCGTCATAAAACACCGAAATAGGAAAAATCACATTGTTGTGTGTTTTATTACACTATTGGTCCATGTTGTCAACACTGTTGGTGTATTCTGGAACCCGACCGCTATAAATGACCACTGTAATTACCATAACACGAGAATACACCATTGGTGGTATAGCCACTGTAATTACCATAACACGAGAATACACCATTGGTGTGTTCCACTGTGGTGTGTTTTATTACACTGTTGGTGTATGTTGTTAACACTGTTGGTGTATTATGGAACCCGCCCGCTATAAATGACCACTGTAATTACCATAACACCCCCACTTACCACTGTCGTTATATTAAACTGATTCAACGACACAGATACGACCACACGACCACACCTAATGATATGACCACATGTGAACGCTCTTCTATATATATATATATGTGTGTGTGTGTGTGTGTGTGTGTGAATTGAAGTATGTGCTCCATCTCAACTAAAAGTCTAAGCTGATAGTTGGATTGCACATTAATGGCTAGATGCTCACACCTTTGATTTGGCTCTAATATCAAATTGAAGCATGTGCTCCGTCTCAACTAAAAGTCTAAGCTGATAGTTGGATTGCACATTAATGACTATACACACACACACACACACACACACACATATATATATATATATATATATATATATATATATATGTGTGTGTGTGTGTGTGGTTATTCAATATTTTGTCATCCGATCCCTAGATATATTAGCTTGATTGTGTCGTATTCCTGATTGAGAAATTGTTGGCATAATCTTACCGGGGATAGATTGCATGTTTTCACTTTTCAATTTTAAATACAGGGTCAATATCCACTCCAATAACCACATGCCAATATTAGTAGCGAATAGAAATCTTCGATCCGTTAATCAATGTCTAGCAAAAATGGACTAACCTACTCCATCTTCACACTAATTAAACTCTATTACTGCTTATAATCTTCCAGGACTAGAGTTGTCGTGGAAACACATGTAGAATAAGAAACACAGAAGAGACAAGAATTAAGGTTGTTATGACAGTTGAAAACTTGGGTGGAGGTCTGGTGTTGTTTGTCGTCTTGTTCGGAACCACCGGTCTAACTCCGATGCTCGGTGATAGTTCGCCAGAGCGCTGGTGTGTAGCCCCAGGCGGCGGCTGATAAAGAGTTGGTTGTGTTGCGAGCGGCGTGATGGGTCTTCCTGGTGAAACCGTCCCCCCGGCAGCACTAAATTTTTTTCAAAAACGCAATTCACATTAGCTTCATGAATAAGTTGAAAAGTTTATCTCATCACCACCTAAATATAACAGCCTGGTCGGAGAGATCAATTATAATTTTATGCCCATTTAATTTTTACATAATTCTTCTGAAGACAAGCAAATTTCTTCGTTTAATTGGTAAAGTTACAATTCTCTCATTTTTTTCATTGAATTAGAATCTTATGTCCATCCTGGTATTTTAATTTTGCATTGATTGGAAAAAAAAAAATTTAACATTACGTCAAAATTATCCTTCTCTTTTCTAACCTAGAAAAATACCCTTTAAGACAAAATTACCCTTCTATGATATTTTTTAGATGTAAGCATTTAAAAAGCTAACATTATTTTATTACTAGTTTTTTTACGCGCTTTGCACGAAGAGATAATGACCAATGATTATTTTTAAATAAGTATTTCAAAGTATATCAATGTAATATTATATATGAGATATTCATGCATAGA